CAGAGAGATGACTCGAGCATTGCTGATGTCCTACAGTTCAGTTATGGCCATAGGGGTGGAATTCATCTTTTTCTGGCCTCTGGATGCAGGTGGCTGTAGGACATGGCTGAGTTGCCACTTAGCTTGGCATGTCACAGGGTGAGCCCATGTGAGAACCTGCACCCAACACACACTGAAGGCTGCCAAAATAAGATGTGCTGCCATCAGCATGTGGTGAGGACTACTTAGTTTAAGAGTGATTTCAAAAATTTAAGAATGGTTGAACTCGGATATTTGTATGCACACTTTGTGTGTGCAGCAGCACCTCTTCATCACTAAAGGCATTTTCCTACTAGAAGCTTGCCCTCTCTCCCCACTTGTCCTGGCTTCCTCAGACACTTCTTACCCTGGAATGTTGTCATGGTGACTCAGGCCAGCGACTGATAGCTTTCAGGGAGGTGGGAGGAAAGGCCAGCAAGTGCATTCATCACAGATGCAGATGAGCGCTGCCCGCTGCATCCCTGGGCCAACAGCCCTGGGGAACCACCCACCCTGATCCCACAGCCAGGGTTCCTGGGAAGGGGAGCAAAGGGTGCTCTCAATGGCAGTACCTTCCTAATGCCCTTGGAAAGGAAGAAAACCAAGCTGGCCCTGCTGCAGGGCTAACAGGCTGGCAAGAAGCAGTATGGTAGAAGCAAGTGATTGTACCTACCTTGCACAATGGGTCAACACCTCCTGTCCTCCTCTGTGGTGCTTCTTGCCCTGAGCATCTCTCACAGCTCTGTCTTGCCCCGAGCACCATGCTGGCCATCTCACAGCACCTTCAAGCTGAGGCTGGGTGCTTGCTGGGTGCTTGCTCTGGTCTGGCAGCCTGTCCCTTATCATTATATTGGTGTACTTCCCCACTGCTGACCCCTGCTTGCAGCTCCAAGATGACAGTGAGCAGCACCTTGCCAAGCTGGGGAAAGCATTGTCATCCATCCATGTTTAACTGCCCATACACCCCATGGCACACCTTCAACATCACCGTGTCCCCCTGTACCCACCCTGCCACAGGCTTGTCAAGACAGGCTTTCACAACTTCTCAAGAGCACAGACTGCTCTCCACTGCTACTCTTTCATGTGTGCACAAACGACACTGCAAGCCAGAACCTGGGCAGAACCGAGGAAGACTATTAAGCCCTTGGGGTGCGAGTGTAAAATATTGGTGTCCAAGTTATCTTCCATTTTGCCAGTTAGAGGAAAGGTGGCAGCCAGAAATAGATATATAATGGAAATCAACTCCTGGCTTCATGGCTTGTGCTGGTGTGACGATTTTGTTTTTTACAACAGGACATTCTTTAATGATTATAGCCTGGGGGAGCAGCCATGGCTTCTTCTCTGCTCGGTCCTCTCCTTTCTGTACTCCTGTACAAGTGGGTTTGACTCCTTGTCCATGCATTTGTTCTTCCTCCTTGTGCTCCTGTATGACCTGGCCATGGGTCACATCAGCCCCAAACCCTAGAAGGGGCTTTTCTTACCCCCTCATTCTTTCTCCCCACATTCCCAAGCTGTAATAGTGAGATGTAAAGAAGCAGCTGGTTTTGAGCTGTTTCAAATGAGCTCCCTGCCCACAGATGTCAAGCTGAGCAGGGAGGGCGAGCTCTAGCTATCTGGGAACAAAGACAGGAGGTACCAGGAGGACTAGAACAGGCACTCCACCTAATTCTTTTTTTTTTTGGCTACTGAGTATGGGAGGATTAGACTCCATAGTGGACTCCTAAAAGGCTGCTGTAAGTGCTGCTTTATGACAGGGAGGGCACCCACAGCTTGGGAAATCGCTGTGTCCATAAATGTGTCCATAATTCCCAAAACAGCTGAACTCATGAATGAGGTCTCCATTTTCTAGGTACAAACCCACCAAATAAAATAGTAGGAGCCTGAAGTGCCACAGGTTATCCTCTCCTCTGGAAGTCGTTCCTCTCTGAAACAAAAATTTCTCCAAGGGACAGATAAGGCTCTATGCCACATTTGCCAGTAACTTCCCCCCCCCCCCCCGACTTTGTTCAAAGACAGTTTCTTTTACCTGCAAAAGCATTTTTCTATTGCAGCTTCTTTGAAGCAAGGCATGTCTTAACACCTGATGATGGGGCAAGGCAGCAACCAGCTGTGGGCAGCATCGCCCTGAATCCCAGCCAGTTTCCCAGCCTCTGCCAGCCCACAGCACTCAGTGATTCACACCCTCCCCTCCATTTCAGTTTTGCTGTCCTGTCCCACTGTGCTGGGCCTGGGCACCACCTCTAGGTCATAATTTACCTGCAAGCTGAGGACTACCTAGAGGACAGGAGCAATTGCTTTGTTAGCTTCCCTGTGCCTGCCAGACCACTAGGCACATGAAGGAGAATGATAGCTCCTTCCTGGTTCCAATTTCAGCTGGGGTGGCAACTCCCAATGTTTCACCCTCCACAGCCTCCATCTGCTCAGCCAGCCAGCCAGGATGCAGGCCAGCTCTGGGGCAGAACCACACACACAGTACCGAGACCCCACAAGCCCTCATGCTGGCTCCCAGCTCTGTGTCCATCCCTCACCCACACACTTGGAAGAGGGGTCCAAGGCACCAGGAAAGCAGGCAGCAGTGGAGACACCTGAGGGTTAAATTCAGAAATATTTTCTATCAGAAAACATCAACTTTTTCCTCCAACTACGGCAAGCCTAGCTGGGTCTTGTCCCCATGCATTGGGACTGGCAGGAGAAGCTGGTGTGTCCCAGAAAATGCAGAGGCTCTGCAATGCTGGTATGGAAGATCCCAGGAGCTGTTCTGTGGTGGTTAGTGCCTCAAAGCCATAAAACCCCCTCAATTCTCACCATTTCATGTGAGCTTAAGCAAAGGAATCATTTCTCTAACAGTTGACCACAGCACATACTGGGCTGCACGCTTGGTTGTTTTCTAATACCAAGAAAAAAGTATATATTGCAGCCCAAACCAGAACAGTTGCTATTTATACCCAACTTGATCAAGTCCCACAGCCTGTTCATCCCGAGCTAGGCTCTCCCATGAAGGCGGTGGAATAAAGAGTAGGTCACAACCAATCTCCCATAGGCATGTTTGCTGGCAGGGGAATGCATGGACAAAATAAAGAAGGAAAAGGAGATAGGGTGGTTACTTTTCCGTTTTCCTTGAGCAAAACAGTTTTATTCAAGTGTTTTCCACTTTTAGTAAGAACCAAAGTTAGATATTTTGGCTGAAGACCCTCCACTTGCCTCAGCAATGGCACCGGCTCCTTGTCCTGACTTGCTTTGAGCCTGATCTGCCTCTGCCAGCTGCCCTGTCCTGGCTGCCCCCGCCCCACCATGGCCCCCATCCATTGCCAGACAGACATGATGGCCCCACGGAGCAGATCCTGGAGCTTCCACCCCACCACTAAGGGCAATGTCTTCCCCTCCCAGTTTGCAGGATGGCTTTCAGCAACTTGGGAAGCCTAACCCCCAGGGCGCTCATCCCTCTGCCTTGCCCTGCCAGGTTTCCACTGCCCCCAGGCACGTGGGGTTTTTTTAATTGCTGCCTGCATTTCCTTATAATTCCTTTAGCTCCCTACAATTCACTACTGGGGACACAGAGTTGCTTTCATTTATCTCCACAAACATTTAATTTCACCTTTCACTTGCTCCCCCCTGCCTTGCTGCTTCTGCTCATTTGCCTTTTATGCACACCTCTACCCAAACCTGCCTAACATCTCCCCTCATGACTCAGCTCTTTCACTATTATTTCAGTTCTTCTAAAGTTAATGTCCTCCCAACACTGTTATGTTAGAGCACTTGCTACAGACTCAGGAAAACCAGGGCTGGGGCAAATCCAAGGCAGAAGGATGAAGGATTTCCATAGTGAGGGAAGGAGAAGGCTTGCTTTGGGCAGCAGGATCCATCTCGAGGCCAGGTGCAGGCATTGGCAAGTGCTTCCTGATGCAGCTATGATAATAAACACCTCAGGACAGATAAATTCAGTGAATGCATTTTCTACAGGAAAAAGCCTCTTCTTCCACCTCCCACCCTATAAAAGCTGTCCAAGGTCACAGACAGCTGCTTTCCAACCTGGCAGCACCTTCTTGGCAGGCCAACAGGGACAAAATAATCACTTTCCCCCCTCACTCCACACTTGCCAGGGGAAGCCAGAGCTGTCATGCATGCAGGAGTCTGGAGGGCAGTCCACACACTATTCGAATGTCCTATTGCAACCAACCTGGCAATGCCCAAATGGGATGGACCAGAGAAGAAACCTCGTATGAAAGTCTTATACCACCAAGCCAGTGATTATGATTATGAGTAATGGTCCAGCTTCTGCTGATTGTTTTTGACCATGGTTTGTACTTCAGAGATCCTACTGAAGAGACGTAAATAAGATAGAAGTTTTACCAGTAAATGAATGTGTAAGGACAGACCCACGTCTGTCTCAATATTCATTGTGTTTCAGAGTGCAGAGGTAAGACTTAGCTGTCTTTTCTTGGATTGCAATTGCTGCTGTGTCCAATGTTAGGAATATCTAACCATGTTAATTTGTCTAATTCAGGAATAATTCCTGTGAATTCCTGATCTTAGACAATATCCTGATTACTAGAAAATATTGGTGTAAACCAAATGCAAAATATAACAAGACCTTTCCTAGTGATCAGCCCAGGGACATTAATTGTTTCTTTATTTTGCAGTAGTAGAACATGGACTTCTGAAGGCTCAGCTCTGCTGTTCAATCACACAAAAGATACTCTGCAGCTGTATAAGATAGAATTTCTTCAGGGTTATTGCTCTTTTTAGTTTACTTTATTAAGATAATGAGATCTGTGTAATAACAGTCCTTATGTGTGCAAATTTCAAACAGCTTGTGGCAAACTTTTGATTTGTTGAAGTGATTGATACCACATTTAAAATAAAACATAAAAATAAAAATGTAAAAATATATAAAACCAAAAAAGACAGAGAACTCAGAGATATTATTCCTGTGTGTTCTATAAAGGCAGTTGGCTGGGAAGACATATTGAGCTAATATTTCTGCAGAAGGAAGTAAAATGAAAAAGAAAGCAGACTGGCCTGAGTGGTTACTAGACATCAGAAAAACCATCTGGGAGAAGGTGATTGCAAATTCTTTAGACATGAACATATTTAATTCATAAAGCATCTGCTTTACTAACAGAGGAATTATGACTGAAAATCAAAACCTCTAATGTCAAATGGCTGACAAAATTTTATTAAAGACTTTATGAAGCTTTTTTCAGGAAAGCAAATACATATTTTTAAATTTCTGTTAACAGAAGAACGCGTGCCCAGTCTTTCAGGTTAATTCAGTTAAAAAGCCAGGCAGCCAGAAGACACACATCAAATCAAAATCATATTTCATTAGTTTCAACGCTCACCATACTTGTTTTTCTTATAAATTGAGTTGATTTAATTCACACAATTAGAAAACACAATTTCAGAAAGGATTTCATCTTCTGAAACCTTCGTAATTATAAATGTTTTTTATTTCAATCACCTGTCACATCTTGATGGCTGTGGTGATCATTCAGAAGGTGTGGAAGTTTACAGAGCACCTAAGAATGATTTCTGAAAGATGCTGAAAGGTCTATCTTCTTCTTTCCTTCTCTAGTATTGTAAAGAGGTATACATCCTAAAGTCATTGTAGGAAATAGGGACAAAAATAGGTATTTGGTATAAAAAGTTTCTCTCTTATGGCACAAATGACCAGAAATGTGGAAGGAACCTGATTTCATTTCTTCTGTAAAGACTAGTGATTTTCCTTTCATTTTGAAATACAGAAATTTGAAGTAGCAAACCCAGCAGCGAACAAAATAGCAAACAGATGAACCATCAGATGAAGAAAATTATAGTCTGTCCTCCTTAATGTTCCAGTTCCCTCATCTCCCTCTCCTTTACAGATACTGAATATGACAGACGATCCTTAGAGTCGATCTGTCGAATCTGACTAGAAAATTCTGACTACTATGCCTTGGTAGAGGCTCTAAAGTGAAGACTTTTGAGAGAGCTGAACACGCAATGAAGTGTTTTATTTATTAAAATTAAATGAGAAATTATTATAAATGTGTGCCCCTTCAAACATGTTATTGCTGATAATTAAATATATATATATATTAGGCTTTATGTATCTGATAGATAAACAACTTGTCAAAACAGCAATGGCATATATTGATCATAATAGACATAATCGTATTTATAATGCTTGTACTTTGTACTTCACAGGAAAGAGCCACGTCTTACTGCTTTTATGGATTTACAGAAAATTGAGATCCTACAACATACTCAAAATGTATGTTCCTTGCAGGCTTAAGCATTTTATTACTTGCATTTACTATGTCATTACTATACCTTTGCTGACATATCTCCATGTGCAAACCACTGTCAACCGGTGTGTATGACCTCAAGATTTTTCCCCCATTTGGTGGTGTACACACAACTCACCCCAGCCCCGGTCACACTGTGACCTGAGAAATGCTCAATAGGCCTTGGCCTTGGTAAACTGTGCCTGGGCTAAGTCCCTCTGATGATTATCAGAAATGTTGTCTGTTCCCAGGAACTAGTGCTATCTAACGAGCTCCTGTTTTTTAATGAACAGACTTGAAAACTTATTTTTCTTCCCTGAATAACAACCCAAATGGAATAATATTTTCATTATCAAATTTTCAAAGAAAGTTACTGACCTGAATTGCAGCCAGGATGGAAAATTACTATGACTAAAGCCAACTCTCTTGCAGCTCTATAAACAGCGATCCAAACTGAGACCCCTTGAGCTCTTGCAGAGAGCAGCAAGCTGTGACCAGCAATGTCCCTCTGAGTGGGACACCCCCTAGAGCCAGAGAACTCTCAAGTTTGCTATACTTGGATGATCACTGAACAATGACAGCAGATCCTGGGCCGATACCCTGACTCCTCAAGACTCAACCCTTCGCTTGTTGAAAAGATGCAAAGGCATCTGAAGTACTTCACTGAATCCGAGGACAATTTTTCAAGTGTATACCTTGTGCAGGCTCTTTATGTCTGTGTGCATGCAAGCATGAATATGCCATAGCAAATGTACCAGTAATGTTTCTCCCCTAGATTCTTAAGTATTTTAGGTTTGTAGTAAGTTAGGCCTGTGAGTTACTGTTATGCTATAGTAGTAAATTCTATATGAATCCCTTGCTAAGTTGTTTATCTTAAGATATTAAGTGCAGTTAAGGTTAAGTGCTTTTGGACCTTTAGGTCCAAAACTGTTTGTCAAGTTTAGCACAAGAGTCTACTCTGAACCTTGTGACCCAACAGGAGGGTCTTCCATATTCCTTTTTTTCCTTGCCCTTTCCTATTCTTTTCTTCTCTGACCTACCCCCTTGCCCTATCCCTCAGCCTCCACATAGATGATTTTGGGTTTACTTTGGTTTAGATTGATTTATTTTAGATTTTTGGTTTGCTTTTGTCTGTGTGCTTTAAGTAGAGTGAACCTTGCCTATGAGCTTTGTTGTGCTATTGCATTTATATTAAACCTGTTTTTGCTGACACCGTTGCCAGTGATTCCTTAAGCAACCTTAAAACATTCATTTGCAGCACCCTGCTCTCTTATTTCTTAACCAAAAGTACTGTAGCAGTAACCCCAAAGCTGCGAAAAAACCCCAAAACAACAAAAAAGAGTAGACGTCCTGTAATCCTTGAGAGGACTGATCAATATGGAAAACAGAGGTATCCATATTACAATAGACGTATCCATACATTGTGTGGAAAGACAAAAGAGGCAGGTGTAAGAGAATAGCAGTTGATTCTACATTTCTCTAATGTCATTGCCAAAGAGATTGAAGTTAACCCCAGCTCACTGGAGCCCGTAAAATTTGCATTGGTGATATTGGTAGGTGAAAAGTACTTATAGAGGTTTCAACCTAAAAAAATCTTCAAAGTTATTAAATTTGTAGTTCCTGTTGTTATGTAAATAAGCCTAGACCTAGTATTCATATTTTTGCTATGTGAAGTTCACCATGTTCCTAAAGACAGGTTAATCAGCCTGCAAAATGTATTACTGTCAAGAAAAGTGTTCTCTAATCTGAAGCATAATCTGCTTCATAATCTGAAGCACCTCTCCTTGTATTGGAGTACTTTACTAATGACATTGAAGTAGCTTTAAACTTGCTGCACTTTATAACACTCATAGTCAGTGTAGTACCTTAAAAAAAAAGCTTTGAACACGGTCATATACCTAAAATACTATTAAAAGAATCAACTAAAAATGCTTGAAAATTATGAAGCTCATTTTTGTACTGAAAGATAATATTTTGGAAAGTTCAGAAAGATTGGTTTTTTGGAGGAAATTATAATTAAATCAAAATATGCCTATTTGTATACATCCACATTTAACCCCTATGTTTCAATAAAAATATGTAATTAATTCACTGACCACATTTAATGCCAGTGTAGTTTCTTTTGTGGATTATACTGTCATTGAAGAATTGAGATACAAGTCAGTGGTGAAAAGGATTAGCTTGTCATCTCTAAAGTTCTTAAAGGCAGTGTTTGTTCAGACATACAGGTAGATGTAAATGACTTGTGAAGAGTTAATGCATGATTAGTAATTGTTATCAACATGCTACAGGCATGAACTTATGAATAACTGTCCCATGGCTATATCTGTACAAATTGATAAAGAATATATATTTACTTTGAAAAGAACCAGGAAGACAGTTATCGAGATGTCATTCAACAACACGTTCTATACTTTCTGCAACATAAACACTTTCTAAAGGCACTTATTGCATGCAAAGTGCTATACAGGATTAAGTACCCGTCTTTATTTCCCCTACTTACATAATAAAAAGAAGAGACAAATGCCTTGTTGGGCAAGTCAAGGCAATTCCCTTTAATAAGAGTTTTAAGTATGATTCAAGTATTCCTCCTGGCTGACTGTTTTGGAAAGATAGGTAGATGTTCCAGAGGATGAAAGTGATGACAGCCTGCAATATTCCATTCAAATTTCTTTTTTGCCCACCATAGCATTTGTATTCTGCCTAAATCACACTGCTGATGTGCTTTACTGTAGTAGTTGCTCTTTACTTAAATTTTTCTTGATTTGCACTCAGTCTGAACAGCTGTCAGCTACCTGCTAGACATATGGTGCCAAAGACCTGCAGGGCAAATTTCTCACAACCCACAAGATGCTCAGTTAGAGTCTTTGGAACACTTTTAGCACACTGTCATAGTATTACAATGACTTGTTCCTATTCCAGGCCCCAATTCCATGGACATGAACCCCAAAATTCATGGTGTACCTGCTGCATAAAGAAAACAGATCCTTTCTGCCTTTCAGACAGCGATTTCAGCAGAATCTCAGTCTAAGGGCTTAGTTTGGTTCTTAGTCTAAAAAATTGATATTCTCCATATTTGTGCTGATATATATGTCTGAACTTTAGAATCTGTTTCCCCATCCCAATTTAGCAAATCAGAAAAGGGACACTATCTTAATTAATGAGAGAATGTCTGGGTTTTCACACCAGTGTGAAGGATCCATGCATGTTAAAGGATCTTCCTTAGGAGATCCCAAAAGGCACTACTAAAATTACCCTGAATTTAGAGTTCTGCTACTTTTCTTTCAGAAAACCTGAAGAACCAGTCATGCCTGACTGCTTACTGTTTGAGTAAGGAGTGAAATGAGGACTGTAAAATGTAGAAGAACCATTATCTATGCAGCAGTGGAAGTCCTGGAGAATGAATAAACTCAGCAAGAAAAACAGGTGCCCAAGGCACCAATGCAGGTATGTGACACACTATTTACGGAGATATTTCCCAAGAATAACAATGTTGAACAAAATTAGGGGTTGGAGCAGTAACTGTTACATGAACCCATACTTCTCAGAGGCTTGAATACAACTGAGCATGCAAAAAAGGCCATGTCCTCTTAGCTTGAAAAACACACTTCAGAGTAATTGTAATTATATACTTGGGGCCTAGTTATTGCACTACATGGTTTCTCAGAAGTTATAATAGCAATTAATAATTTCCAAAATAGCAACTTCCAAAAATATGCTACCCAGAAATCCCTGTAGAAATTCCATTCATCCTATAATGACAGCTTGTTACGGAAACAAGTATTCTACACATTATGCCTGAAATGTACAGGGTAAATTACATACCTTACATCAACATTAAAAATAAATGTGGCACTGAAAGTTCAAGAAAATGGGCTGAAAGCTCTTGTGCTGCTAGTTTATTTTTTTTAATGTCTAACTGTAAACAGAGACACCAGAGGTTTTAGTATTTGTTGTCACGTGGTATTGAAGAACATACTGAACTTTTAATGCATCTTTTTTTCTCTCCTCTAAGACATTACCCTTCCTGTCTTGAACTAGGAGAGACTCACACATGTTCATGGATCTGACATCAGTGTTGCTAGAGAGAACTGGTTTTATGCTGGAAAATATACATTCTCATTTTCATATTACATCTGATTATTGTTACATTTTTTTCCTTTACATCAGTTAACTACAATATCAGCTCAGGCCAGTCAGAAGAGCCATTGCCTTTAGTGGAATTATTCACATCATTAAGTGTGTTTTGAAATGCTTTTTTTGATTAAGGATCTGTATTTTATGTTAGTGCTTATCTTGAACATAGTAGTTAAAATCATAGATCCTGCAGTGACTCTAAATGCCAGACTCAATGGAAATATTCAATTTTGAACACCTGAAAGACTAGGACTGGGATTTGCCTGTCCAGACAGATATATTGTGTCAAAGTACCATTCGGTTATTCTGTATGCAGTATGAATTCAGTAGTGCTCATATGAAGGTCATGCAGTCATTAAATATTTGATGAAGATTATCAAATGACTTCATAAAAGCAGCCATGCTACTTCAGACCACTGAACCCCATAGCACAACATTCTCTGTACCAGTGGCCACAGGCAGGTGCCTAGGGAAGAGTATGAGCAGGACCAGCAGATGTTACACTTTACCCAAATACCTTTCCAAACTCCAATCATTTTCAACTCAGGGGTTTTCTTAATATCATCGTGAAAGTACATAGACCTTAGTATATTAGAACAATGCACATATCAGAGGCACTGCTGCCCTGCCACTCCAAGGTTAGAAAAAGAAGAATATAGGGTAGCTTGGGTGCACAGGGGAACTGTCAGACTGCAGAGAAATAGTCTGAGACTAGCTATTGCAGATGTCCAGTCTAGCATGATGGGTCTGCTCCAAAAACCAAATTTCCAAAGATGGAAAAACTGGGTAAATAGGAGCCAGAAATCTCTGGCTCTTTATGTCATTGTTTTGTTTTTACTCACACACAGTACAGATGCATAAGTATTTGCATCAGATTTTCTATTTTCTCCATTTTTCTTGTTTTATAACCCAAAAGCCACTCAGACTCACAAGTAGAAGAGATTTTCAATTCTCATCCTGATCCTCGCCTGCTTCCCTTGTGGTCTTGCCTGCTAACAGTTTGTGAAGAAAGATCCTAGGTTAGCGTGCCAGTGTCTGGGTCTAAACATACGGGCTTCCAGTGAAGACAGACCAGACAGTGACTATTCTGGCTTCCAGTCCAATGACTAGGGGAATGTGACTGTGAAGCTGCCCTGAGCACCTCTCAGAGAGGAGCCTCCAGAAGCTGTTTTCCATCTCATTAAAGTCCCTTGCTGCTGGAGGTGCAGCTAACTAGCAAAAGGCCACAGAGAGTGCTGAGACTACACTTACAAAAGACCTGGTCAATCTCTTTGTGACTGGTATGTGAACCAGAAGCTGAGACCAAGTTATGGTATCGTATACCAGCATAACAAACAGTAAAGATGTCAGCAAAGTAAACATTAGGCACAGCCACCATAGCCATTATATATATCTGGTACAGCAATAATAGCAGAAGTGTATCTCTGATGGGTTTTACAGCATTTAAAAGTCCCATCAACTTTCCCTACTATCCAGGGAAGTCTCTTTTCTGCGTCTTGTCCGGTCTAGCTCCTTACAGTCAGTGAGAATCTGGAGCCTCTGAATTACTGATGTTATTTACTGGCCACTTAATGGCCTAGATGCTGAGGGTGATGTTTTCTGATGGAAAAGTGATAGCATAAATAAAATGCATTGGAGACAACTGCTCCCAAAATCATACAAGAAATTAATACTATCAGTGTTGCAGTTATACTCCTCAGCTATGAAATTCAGGAAAGAGAGATGACAGGAGACATTTTGCTGCCGTTCAGCCTCCTCTCGAATGTTTTGCCATGCTGCAGTGGCACGCTGCAGTGTGCTGTGAGACAAACACAGCAGCTTGTTTCCAGCCTGTACATCTACAGATCTCAGGCACACATCTCTAGCTAGACCCCAGTCTGACCTCAGATTGGTTGGACCTTGTCTACTATACAAGCTGTCCTTTCTTTACTCTCTGCTTCAGCCACTATGGTCTCACTATATTCCTCACTCCATTCCTATTATGGAGTTTCCCAGTCCAGCCTCTCAACACCCGCTCTAATCTAATCTTAATGACTACTGTCAACCTATCCAATCCCACTCTCTGAGTCTTGC